TCACTAGCAATGACCTAACCTCAGGAATATGTTTAAAACTTAACATAATTTAACGTCGAAACTTCAACCCGACTCTAATAGAAAAGAATGCACTTCACTCTTTAATTTACACTTTCACATCTGTATGCATATTCTTTATACTGCTCTCTACACATTTCCCTACAAGAGCTTACTAAGTAGTCAAGTTTTCTGTATTCGCATAACTTTCATCAGTTTTGAGTCAGTTGTTATGGTGCAAAGAGAAATCAGTCGAACCTGTATTAAGTGGTCACCCACGGGGAATGGCGCTTAATGCGGGTAAACCGCTTAATGCATGTTCCACATGTTCTGGGTATTAAAAAAATAAAAAAATAAATAAAAAATAAATAATAATAATAATAATAATAATAAACAACGCCTCTTCATGCCATAAGTGGCCACTTAATGCACAGAATCTCGCTCGAAAATATAACTCACTTTGATTTGGGAGAGAAATGTGTAAAAATTACTTGAAAGATTATTCTTAGGTTTATATGAAAAGTTCCACTTTTTTGTGACCGCTCAATACAGATAGAGGACAATAAAGAGTGACCGCGAGGTGAATATGACACTAATTAAGGAGAAACTAATTCTCTATCTCTCTCTTTTTTTTTTTACCAGAAAATATGGTTTTATCAACTGAATTGATAATGTAAATTGGGCACTATGAAGGATTCTTAAAGCTGACGTTTCGTGCGTTAGCTCTTCGTCTGAGATAGCTATAAGCCTTCATCCACTGTTCACAAAAAAGGTGTTTCGATATATCGGCTGACGAGATCTTGAAACGCGCTTTTGTTAAACATCGACTAGGCTGTAGACTGTGTCCAGGTAACCGTAAGTGCATTTGGATAAGTGCAATTTCCGCAGTTTATTGAAAAGCAAAGAAAATTATCAGGTTAACTTACGGTAAACTAGTAGTCCAGTATCAGTTTTGGTAAACAAAAGCGGGTATCCATATTTTAAAATAGCAAGGCAATTGATTTTTCATTGACGTTTCTTGACATATGCAAATTCTAACACTTTTAATTAAAATGCTCCAACCAAGTGCGAGAATTGTTTTGATTGCAACCGCGTGCACCCTGCCTTTAATGGATCTCATCTCTCAACTAAACAAATACACCTGGACACTTCTTTTGGCAAAGCTCTTTTTTCATTTTTAATGCTTATTTGATTTTTCTATCGAATGATCATAGTTAGTAGTAGTCTCCTCTACTAACTATGGAATGATTTAGCAAGGAAATCCAGCAAGGAATATTATTTTTTCTTATGGTATGAATAACGAAAGAGGTAAACTCAGAGGTTAGAGTACCTTTCGAACGCAAAGCACAAGTGACATCGACCAACAAAAACCTCATGAACTTCCTTTCGATGTAAAGATTGAATTAAGAGCTCCATAATAAATGAATAGGTCGCTCAGGCATCGTTGGAAACTGATCGATTCCGCCGAGTATCTCGGGTACAAATTGTAAACCAGTATTATGTTGAATCTGTTGCATTGACCCTCTTTGTCCAGGTAACAATTGTAATTCAAATGGATCGCCGGTATATTTACATAAGCTTGCCTCCGCAGAAAAAATGAATATCTGGAGTTATACCTGTAGTATGAAGCAATTCGATAACTTCTTTTCCAAAATAATTCATCTTCCAACAAAGTTTCTCACACAGTTAGAAGACTTCGTTGGTGATCTGAACATTTCGAGACATAAAGCTTAGATAGCCTCGAAAGTTGGATAAGTATAGTGTTATCCATAGCTTGAAGTGGACCGATGGAAAAAACAATTCATATAGTCGTTGCTGTTGTGAATGCACACACGCACAAGAAAGAGAAAAAGTATATTGAAAAAAAGAAAAGAAAAGAAAGGAAGAAACAGTTACAACAATTTACAAGTCAAGCGAGCCGACTCGCCCAGTAGAATTCGAATAACTGACTCAAACGCGCGATCATGGTGAACAGTCCTCCCCTAAAGAACAACAAATAGACCGTACCTCTTGAACGGGACTCCGTTTTGAAAACGATTTGAATCATACTATAATACACCTCACTTTTGGAACAAGTTGTGCAAAATTAAATAAGCTTGTGCGATCCACTTATTTCACAACAAACTAAAGGTTATCTGAGTGAGAGCTCAAAATAAATAATTTAGAGCCAATTTGAGGATCACAACATCGCCAGCTAGCAGTCTGAATTCAGTGAGAACGAAATATGAACCACTTACCACGGTATTATTGGCATTTTTTCTGACCATACTCTCCACTTTCTCACGTGGAACGTCTGACGTTTTCAGCCAGAAAACTCATTAGGTCGCCTACGATCTGTCAAAACGTGGACTTTTTTTGGTGTATTTTTTATTTACTTAGCCTTTGTTTTACATATATTTTCTATGGTTACGTCCTAAGTGTAGGGTTGAGGAGAGAGTGGAGGGTCTGGTGAACAGCTCTACATGCTACACTGCACTCGCATTCATGATCGGGGCAAGGTTTTTAGGCTGTTTGGTCTTAAATCGGCTATTATTTTCTATAACCTGAGAAAAAACAAAAGTAGATCAACGTTTTCGTATTTCAACAAAATAGAAGAAACAACCTTATCATATATACCAATCGGGCCAAATTATTCGGGTGAATTTAATAACTTCTTTATTACTTCGAGGGGCACGGAAAACTCATTTGAACAGACACCTACCAGTGCAAGGTGCTAAGGGACTGAAACCTGGTCGCAGTTTAGCTTTTGTTGAAGTAGATTTTAAGTAGGGGACTGGTTCTATAACTTCAACAATGCACAACTGCAATCTTCACTCTGGTTTAATGACTTGGACGGTTACTATAACTTCTCACGTTCAACTCGGTAACTGAACTGCTAGCGAGGTTGTTACTGACCACGTTCTTCTAATTTAGAGTGACCAGGACAAAACCGACAGAAAATAGACGAT